TCTGATAAACACCCTTAGTGGCTTAATACTCTGTAATCCTTTTGCCGCTACCACTCACAGGATGGGTATGGGGTGCACAATAAACTAGCTGCTGTTCGCGGAAAATCTAGCATACTCTAGCCTCGGGTAGCACTGGTAGGGTGTGTGGTGGCTGCCAGGGTAACAGTGTGGTAGGGTGTGTGGTGGCTGCAGGGTAACAGTGTAGTAGGGTGTGTGGTGGCTGCTGCAGGGTAACAGTGTGGCAGGGTGTGTGGTGGCTGCTGCAGGGTAACAGTGTGGTAGGGTGTGTGGTGGCTGCAGGGTAACAGTGTGGTAGGGTGTGTGGTGGCTGCAGGGTAACAGTGTGGTAGGGTGTGTGGTGGCTGCTGCAGGCAACAGGGTGGTAGGGTGTGTGTGTGGCTGCTGCAGGGATTGTGTGTGGTGGCTGCCGGGGTAACAGTGTGGTAGGGTGTGTGGTGGCTAAGCAGGGTAACAGTGTGGTAGGGGTGTGTAGTGGCTGCCAGGGTAACAGTGTGGTAGGGTGTGTGGTGGCTGCAGGGTAACTGTGGTGGGTGTGTGGTGGCTGCCAGGGTAACAGTGTGGTAGGGTGTGTGGTGGCTGCTGCAGGGTAACAGTAATAATAATAATAATAATTAACGGTTTATTGAGAAAGTTCTGCAGCCCGAAGGCTGAAAATATACATTGGACATAAATGACTTATTACATACATTGGTGGTTTAACAAAAGCCTTCATTAGAGAAAGGTAAAGGAACATATACAGTGAACATACAGATTAATGTAGGATTGTACGTGTTAAACAGCAAACACGTAGTGTAGTAACTCCCTCCCAGATGGTGTTAGGAGGGACCTCACGTGATGTAGTGGTTCCCTCAGATGGTGTTATGAGGGACCTGACGTGGTGTAGTAATTCCCTCGCAGATGGTGTTATGAGGGACCACGTGGTGTAGTAATTCCCTCACAGATGGTGTTATGGGGGACCTCACGTGGTGTAATTACCTCACAGATGGTGTTATGAGGGTCCTCACGTGGTGTAGTAATTCCCTCACAGATGGTGTTATTAGGGACCTGACGTGGTGTGGTAATTCCCTCACAGATGGTGTTATGAGGGACCTGACGTGGTGTAGTAATTCCCTCACAGATGGTGTTATGAGGGGGCCTCACGTGGTGTAGTAATTCCTTCACAGATGGTGTTATGAGGGTCCTCACGTGGTGTAGTAATTCCCTCACAGATGGTGTGATGAGGGACTTGACGTGGTGTAGCAATTCCCTCACATATGGTGTTATGAGGGACATGTGGTGTAGTAATTCCCTCACAGATGGTGTTATATGAGTGAGGTTTGGTCCCAGGCCTTCCTATCGTAGACGGATTAACATATCGCTGGTTATCACGGGCCGTTATCACTGGGTACCTGGGACCTCACTGTGTGAAGGTTAACTTGGGTACGACTGTTACTGTTGAGTTGTTCTCACTGACTTAAGCACTGTTCACCTCTGTTTAACACTGGTTCCATTCCTTTCCTAAATGAAATTGTAACTTCTGGCGAGAACTTGTTGATATTCCGGTGGGGAGGAGGGTTCTGGGGAAGGGGTTGGTATGGGCCAACTTAACAGTTGACCTGGCTGCTCCGAGAGGAGCGCCAGGTACGTCTTGACCCTTCGGTGGTCAAGGATGCAGTGTGGTAGGGTGTGTGGTGGCTGCCAGGGTAACAGGGTGGTAGGGTGTGTGGTGGCTGCAGGGTAACTGTGGTAGGGTGTGTGGTGACCAGGGTAACAGTGTGGTAGGGTGTGTGGTGGCTGCAGGGTAACAGTGTGGTAGGGTGTGTGGTGGCTGTCAGGATAACAGTGTGGTAGGGTGTGTGTGGTGGCTGCTGCAGTTAACAGTGTGGTAGGGTGTGTGGTGGCTGCATGATAACAGTGTGGTAGGGTGTGTGGTGGCTGTCAGGATAACAGTGTGGTAGGGTGTGTGGGTGGCTGCTGCAGGGTGAACAGTGTGGTGGGTGTGTGGTGGCCGCTGCAGTGGTAACAGGTGGTAGGGTGTGGTGGCTGCTGCAGGGTAACAGTGTGGTAGGGTGTGGTGGCTGTTGCAGGTAACAGTGTGGTAGGGTAGTGTGGTGGCTGCTGCAGGGTAACAGTGTGGTAGGGTGTGTGGTGGCTGCTGCAGGGTAACAGTGTGGTAGGGTGTGTGGTGGCTGCTGGATGGAACAGTGTGTGTGGGGTGTGTGGTGGCTGTTGCAGGGTAACAGTGTGTGGTAGGGTGTGTGGTGGCTGCTGCAGGATAACAGTGTGGTAGGGTTTCCAGATGATGTGGGTGTACCTGCCTCATGCTGGGGGTGGGTGGGGGGGGTGGAGGTGTTGCGTCACCCTTCCTCCCTCACTCAGGATTCTTCCTGGCTCACCTGTGGGCGGCCTTCAGGTGTGTGTGTGTGTGTGTGTGTGGGCGGCCAGAGGTCTTGGAGGTGGCCATGGGGGTGCGCGTGTGGGCGGGAGTTTGAAAGCATTTGTAACTGTCGATAATTTAGAGACAAAAAAACAGCAGCTGAGAGAGAGAGAGAGAGAGAGAGAGAGAGAGAGAGAGAGAGAGAGAGAGCATTACACACACCTGTGGTTAACTCGTGTTTGTTTATGTATCAAAATCCCCAGAAACTCTGTAGACGTAGCGGTTACGTCACCCTCCAGCAGCCTGTACAACCGGTTCCAAAAAGGCGCCAACTGACTAACTCAACTGCTCGCTAGGTGTTCCATTATCACTTTAGGACAGATAGATTCTTATTACTCTGTATTTGTGTTATTATATTAGACCTGGGAGTTACTTAATTGCTACCTAATCCATTGTTGACGTTTGTGAGAGGCGTAGTTATATTCACCGTTGCTGCCGTCAGGTTATTCAAACAGTGATTTGTAAAAGAGTTTGAATGATTTCCTCTCGTTGGATTGTTTTAGCTGTGTCAATGTTTGTGTTCATTCTCGCAGTTTAATTGATCGAGGTTTTGTTAAGTGTTCCGGCTGTATCATAACGGATCTTAATTTTGTACTTGGCCTGATGATGATGATGATGATGATGATGATGATGATGATGATGATGATGATGATGTACGTGGATAGATTTTGAGGGGGTAGGTGTGGGGAAGATGTTGTACTAATGGGGGTGGTGTAAGGAAGGGCTGGTATTAAAGGGGTGTGGGTGATGGGGGGAGACGGATGGTAGGGGGTGTTTGTGATGCAGCACTTTGTATTAAGAACATGACCCAGCAGCTTCCCCCTCCCCCCCTCCTCCTTTCTGGGTATTGCGTTCACCTGGGCTGGTCAGGATGCGCCATTAATAGTCAGGAAGGTGTGTGTGTGTGTGTGTGTGTGTGTGTTAACAGATTCACCAGGGATTACCTTGTGTGTCAGGTCAGGTGCTTACCATTGTTAGGTCAGTATGTTTCTTCCAAAGGTGAATTGAATCATTGAGGAAAAACAGTTAATCTTGCCTTTGGTCTCGAAAATAGTGAAGGTCATAGGGTGGTCCTTACACCTGTGAGGAAGAACACCTGTCAGTCTCACTATCGTCTACCTGTTCTCTTGGTCATTCGTTTGCCTCCATTTAGAATCTTGAGACTAAAAAGTTAAGTCCATTTTATTTTTATCTCTGAGACTATCGGTGTTGAACCTCATTACACGGTGAGTCATTGACCAGTTGAGGCAGAGAGGTCACTAGATAAGATAGTGTGATGACTGTGTTGTCCTTAGGAAGGTACAATCACTGTCTTATATCACCACCTGCCAGTAACACCCATTATGTATGCCAGAGAGTACTGTGCTGTGTGACTGACCTGACCTGACCTGACCTGATCACCCTGTACCTGTATGTAATGTAGGTACTGTCTCTCCCTCCCACCTCTTGTATATCTCTCAGTCATCATACTTAGTGATTGTATACACATGGTCATTATACACTTTATATATATACAAATTGATGTATTACTGTATACTAGTGTCTTACTTTGTACTTGTGTGACACGTTATAAAGTACACACACACACACACACACACACACACACACACTCACACTCACTCACTCATTCTACTATCATACATTGCTAGACACCTTTCGTATGTGGGGGTGGCCAGGTTGTGAAAGTGATACTCTTGCTCATTATTGTTCTTGACATATATTTTTGTCTTGAACCTGTCATGTGTGTGTGGGTGTGTTTTGCCTCGTTTAATGGTGGTTGTTGTAGTTCGTCTGCCCACTTCAATCTTTTCCTGTCTCCTGTTCTTGATTCTTTAATTTTTTTTCTTTTCCTCCTAAATCTCTGGTTTAATCCTCATCTATTTGTTCCTTCTCATCTTTTCTTCTCGATCTCCTATTCTTATCTTCCTCCATTTTCACATCTTTTTAACATTTCCTCCTCCTCTTACATCTTCATTATTTCCTCTTCCTTCATTCATATCCCCTTACTTCTTTTCTCGTTCCCTTACTCATCTTCCTTCTATTTCCTGATCCACTTTCATATTTTCCCCCTTTTTCCCTGCCCTCCTCCTCCTTGTTAGTTGTAAAGTGAGATAATTAATGACCTGCCAAATTTGGGAACTTTCTTGTGGTGACACGTTTACTGTACTGTACTCTTCAAAGATTGTTTTTTATTATCATTTATTATCATGGGTTTGTTAGTTTTCTTTTTTATTTTAATGTTTATAATAAGTTAATAACAGAAATATATACTGTATGTAACTTTTCTGTATTGATCTCATGAGTCCAATTATCACTTGGAATTTTAAATACGAGACAGAAAACTTTTAGTGTGCTATCTTATCGCAAGTTGGTTACAGAGCATATCCCCTCTACCCACACACACACACACACACACACACACACACACACACACACACACAGAGCTGATAATGATTTTTTTGTATTGTTGTAATGGCGTCTGTACAGTGACAGTGTTGTTCTGGTGTTCCTGAATTACCTCCACATTCAAACATCTTTCCACATTTTGTTTCTAACCTTTCAGATGTAGTGGACAATACAGTATTTATCTACCAGTGATAAACAGTGACTTTTGAAATGATGTTTCTATTGAGTGAAACTTAAGGTTGTGATAGTACAGAATTAAATACTAACTGTTGCTGCTCTAATATTTGTGAAATAGGGAAGATTAGTGAAGCGCTGTACATAACATTATTGGAGCAAGAAGTCGCCACCATGAGCAAGTTATTTCCCTTGTTCAAGAGGAAGGGGAAAGGTAAGGAGGAAGAGGTGGAGGAGGAATCACGCAAGAGACATGGTAAGCCAAGGAAACACTCCAAGGAAGATCACCACAGTCCATCCCCTGCAAGTACTCCTCCCCCCACCAAACCTCAAAAGAAAAGAAAAGCAAAAGAGGTCAAGCGGAGAGCCCCATTGCCAGGTGGTAAAGACATAAATTCCAAGACAGACGGGCCAGAGAGACCATTTCAGGGAGACTTCCACGTGGATGATAATGGCCAAGTCCAACCAGGTCCTCCTCTGGATATCACAGCCATTGAGGATGATCATCTTACCATCAGTAAAGATGAATCACTACAACCGGAAGATAAACCTAAAGACTCGACCATCGCAAAAGATCATTTACATGCTGAAGGTAAAGAAACCTTAGATGTTGTTGCTGATGAAGATGATGATGTATCGTGTGAAAGTTATCCTGCAGAGGTAAACATATTGCAAGGTCCCAGTGATGGCCAGTTGGACCACGGTGAAGAAGAATTAAGCTCAGTAGTGCAAGTTACCCACGAGGAACGTGTACTAAATGGGTACGAGGGTCAAGCTGAAGATGTTATTGAGGACGGACCAGCTGCCAGCATTGACACAGAAATTGACCAAGAAGTCAGGTTAAGTGAGCCTGATAAACATCTTTTCAGTGATTCTCCCACAGCTGAAGATGTTACAGGTAATGTGTGTGATATATACAGGATTCCTCCACCAGAAGTGAAAGTTTCTGCCAAGGAAGAAACAGAAACAGTAGTGGAAGCTGAAGTAAAGGTGGTTGATAATGAAAATACTGGAAATAATGAATTGGATGAATATTCAAAAATAATTATTGAAAAACAAACCGATGAATCAAGTGAAAATATTGACAAGCTTATGACAAATGACAAGGAAGCCATATCAGAAGACATTGTTGCAGAGAGAGAGGTTGATTCTGACCACGTTTCCTTGGTAGAAGAAGGAGACAAGAGTGTACATGGATTGAAAGATGACAGAGAGGAAGTTATGATGGGTAAAAGTGATGGTTCAGTTGACGAAGACAGCCCACACATCAGCCTGGACAGTGACGATGACTTTGATTCTGCCCAGGAGGACTGGGAGGAAAACTATGATGCTGATGTAACAGGTAGAAATAAGGCAGCAGAGGAAGTTGAAACTATGAACCGAATGACACAGGAGAGTGCAGATGGAAGTGGATTGTCAGAGCATTTGGAAGAGTCGCAAGACAATGATGGAGATGTAAACGAGGCAACAAACTGTGTACTTATCAACAAAAAGCGTGAAGACTCTGAGGTGTCAATTCTCCTCAGAGAACCCAGCAGCTCTTCCTCTGTCTACCAGGATGCTTCTTTCTCCTTTGAAGATAATGATATCACTGATATATCATCCATTGTTGATGCTGTAAATGAAGAATGTATAAATGATTCAAGCAAGGAAGACAGGAAGAAAAAAGATATTCAGCCTAAACTCACACGAAAAATTTCTAATATTTCTGTGTCAAGCGACATCTTCAATGAAGAACTAGATGAACTACTGGATGAAGAACTGGACAGATTATCAGAAGAGGAGGTTGAGGGTCTAAATCAAGGAGTATCTCCTGCAGAAGGTGTAGCGGGAGTAGATTCAGTGGATAATACTTTGTTAGGTGAAGAATCTAGAGTGGAGTACTCCAGTACAGTAAAAACTCCTGAACAGGAGAAAGAGACTGTTGCACCCACTGATATAAGTATCAAAATATCAGATCAAAATGGAAATGTAGAGGAAGCACATGAAGGTGGCCCAGATATTCTGCAAAGCCAGGCGACAGAAGATGCTGTGAGCAATAGTCTGGGAGATTCAAATAGCTTTACAACAATATCTGAAGAAGGTTGGAGTTCAGGCAAAAAAATTGGCTCAGAAGAAGGGGCAAAGTTGTCAACATTGGCAGCTCCTGAAGAGGGTTTGGATCAGGCCAAGGACAGCGGGTATTATAGCCTGCCGGTGTCACCCAAGCCAGGTGTGTCTGTGAGGGAGAGTGAGCCCCCAGAGGTGGTGAAACACATGGCTGATGATCCCTTTGGAGACAGTGAGGATGAGGAGGGAATGGTGACTCCCCCCAGTGAGTTGGCACCTTCCTTGGATACAACAGAGAAGCTTACGGAGAAAACTACAGAAATAAATGAGTCTGTGTTGGGTGCTTCTGTAACAAATGAATCTATTCCTGTATTGGACACTTCTGTGACAAATGATTCTGTGTCTGTTTTGGACACTTCTGTGACAAATGAATCGGTGTTGGACACTTCTGTGACAAATGAATCGGTGTTGGACACTTCTGTGACAAATGAATCGGTGTTGGACACTTCTGTGACAAATGAATCGGTGTTGGACACTTCTGTGACAAATGAATCTATGCTTTACCAGACTTGTTGTGAAAGTCAGGGAGCTGAAGAGATAGAAAATATAGATAAACAGAGAGAAGTTGTACACTTGGGAGAAGAAAGTTGTACAGAATCTCAAAAGGATAACAAACCCAAGAGTCCAAAACTCTTTATTCCTATGGACACAGTGGGAGAATCAAAAGAGGGAGCCACCTCACCAAGAGATGGCTCTACTCCAGTTAGGCCCCCGAGGCATAAGTACCCCATATTGGAGTGTGAAAACTTACAACAGAGCGATGAGACCCTGAAGAGCCCAGACCCTGTGGGAGACAGGTTCCTAAAAGAGGCTGTCTTTACATCCCACGAGGAAGTAAGTCACTCAGGGTGGTGCCTTTAAGGACATTCCCCATCTAGGTTTGTTTGTTAATTGGTATATTTCATTGCTTATCCCTAAATACAGTAAGTTAGTCATCACCATTTCCCATTGTGGTTATTAGGTAACAGGTTTTTGTCATTTCTTAATAATGTTAACAGCAAACTGTTTAGTTTGCTAAAGACGTTGTTTGCTCACAGTTCATTTTGTATGTGTAAATTTGTTCTGCTAGTAATAAGAGTCTGATTGTTAAGTGTAAGTACTGTACTGTACCTAGATGAGAATTCATTTAGTTAGCTAAACAAGAATCAGCTTTGATTATATTTGTATCAATTATTCATTATGATTAATGGTACTGATAAGTACAGTAGAGAGAAGGATTACCATTAATGTGGATAAAATCTAGCAAGGGAAATTCTGTACATAGAAGAGTTCCTCTGGGGAGCAAACCATTGTAGATAAGTAGTGGGAGACTAAACATCTGTGGTGGAAGGAAGCACTTAAAGATTCACTTACACACAAACCGTTAAGATTATGTTGGGTAATGTAGTGTTTCAGAAGGCAGTTTACATTCCGACTGACTTTGGTGTGTGGGCTCCATCTCTACCCATAGTTCAGGTAGCTTAAATAGACCCAACTTATGTGCGCAACATACATACACTGTATAATGACCAAATATATGGTACATTTCATTAACTAACTGAGAAACTGTACAGTACATAATTTTTTTCGAAAAAGGATTTTCTATAGCACTGTAATATAGTAGTGTACTGTACAGTATTCTCTTTGTCTATACTGTACAGGTATTTCTATGTTATTTCTGTCAACTCTACTCCATTCTTAGTTAAATGGAATGGAACACCTTAATTACAATTATTTTTTGTCTTCAGGCTGAGGCGCGTTTAGCCCAGCGACGAGCTGCACGAGCAGAGGCCAGAGAGCTGAGACTACGAGAGCTGGAAAAGCAGCAGCAGGACCAGGAAAATGATGAGGAGAAGCAGTTCACCACTCCGTCCTATGCAGGTGAGTTGTCCTTGTGGTTGTAATATGTATGCATAGAAACTACTTTTTTTTAATACTGTCTATAGGTTGATATAGACTATTTATTCAGTATACTTGTACATGTAATCAGTTACAATTAAATGGTCACCAAGAGGTCCAATGAGGGCCATCCCCCAGGTGTCATTGTTAGTACTGGAGGAAAATGCATTACCCAGAAACAGTCTTCAGTGATTGGTAGTTGTCACACTGGACAACATGCTTCTCACATCCAACCTGGGCAAGTATTGAATCTGAGGCAAGCACCAGACGACTGCACCACGGACCAAAGAACAAGCCAGTAACACCACTGTGAGGGACAGGGGACTCAAAACTTGTTTATATATTGGCCAGTAATCCATCATATTCCTGTACTTGAAGTACTGTATCAGAAAATCAGTGTTTTCCAAATAAATATTCAGAGTCTCTTACTCCATAATAAGAGTTAGAACACTAGATTTAAATTAGTATACAGTGATGTGATGCACATTGTGTTCTCAGTAGACACTGATTAAGTTCATTAGGAAGAGAAGGTGATGTTGTATAATACAGTACAAGTTAAACTAATGTTTATTACCTCATGTCAGATCATTTGTATAACTTTCTTTGATCATCGTCAACGTTTTATGGCTATTTTCCACACTTGTGTGTGTTACCCACAATTATTTGAGGACAACTGTCCATGCTGCATGGTCTCTTGTATCCTCTCTCATCATATATAGAAGATTTTGTTAATTGTAAATGTTTTAAGTTTCAGGGATGGTATTTACCTACTGTAATAGTTAAGCTTCTATAGACGAGTTTATAAGAGCCAGTTAATCAAGCGGCCTACAGATCATAACTGAAATGTCAGTCATACTTATCTGCCAAGAACATAAATGGAACAGTTGTCAGAGCATCTTAGTACAGTATAGTATCCACAGTCATAACCAGCTTGCCTAAAGTCAGCTGTACAGACTCAGTGTTAAACCAGCATTATTAAATTAGGATGAGATGCATAGAACTGTGGACAAGTTGATATATGCAAGGTCAACTTATGCCAATTGTTTGCACTGTACGTGTGGGAGCATAGAGTAAAGACTGAATTTAACTTACTTGATGGATGAAACTTTAGTAAGTTTTTATTTTGCAATTTGTATATCAATTGAGGTCACAAGTACTGTACAGTAAGGTACAACAGTCACAAGTTGTACATCAATTGAGTAATAACTACAGTATGGTGCAACAATCAGAGAGCATATCACTGTAGAAAAATATGCTCTTGATGTCCAATGTTTGTTACATTACCCTGGGAGTTTGCATCCTTACCTAGTTTAATGTTTTTATTCTTGTCAATGGTGTGACTATTGAGAAAACTATTTTAGTGACATTTGGTATGAACTTTTTAACCAGAGATAAGTACAGTAGTACAGTTTTTAGATTTTAGCTGGGAAGGTTTTTCACTTTTCAAATACTGTAGGACTAAAATGTACGATTATTTTCACCGCATCAATTATTTCACTGGTAAGTTCTTCTAGCATGTGGATGGATTTTGGTACAGTAGTTAGTAGATGATGAAAGAAAATGGTGAAACTAACCTTTTCATGTTTGTGTTGATAACTATTTACTGGAGCTGATTTTGACTTATCATTTGATCAAATATCGTGCGTTTACTGCAGGTGCTGAAAGTGGGGGTGAAGACGAGGATGAGGAGGAGGAGGAAGGTACCGGTGAGAGGGTGTCCTTGACTAAACAGTGTGCTTCTTAACCAAACCTGACCATCCACATTGCTAAGCTCTACCCCAATTTTTTTTTATTATTTGTACTAAATGACCCTAAACTATTTCCAGATTCGTTGATTTGTTATTGTACTGCTTTTGTGTAGCATCTGTGATTACCCTGATTAAGATGCAGCATGGATTTCAACGTGTACCATTTTATTAGATTGTTGGTGATCAAAGTAGACCATTTATGAGCTGTTAAACTGCCCTAAAGATATTTTATAATAATATCAGTAATGTGTGTGTGTGTGGGAGAGGGGCATCAGTGGGTAATTTGGATGAATGGATTTAGAATATGGGTGATGAAGACAGATGCTTTCATTAGTCATTATCATCATATGTGAGCCAAGGCAATAAAATTTTAGTCACCCTTGTGTGTAGCGTAGCCGCTTGTGTTTGTAAAATGGAAAACTAGGAAGACAACACTTGACCAAGAGAATGTTAAATTTCACATAGAAGAATATTTTTGGGATTTATCAATACATTGTTAAAGGGAGAATGAGGGTTTAGTTCTCTGAAATATTTAGTTACATTGGCTTGATCTTATCAGTGGCAGGTTTGTTTTGTTTGAATGCCCTAAAACCACAGGAAAACGGAGTGTTACTTGTGACTTTTGGGGCCACAGTCACACGGGAAGTTCAGTTGGCAGATGACTCAATTTTGAAAGCTCTACGTGATTTTTAGAGCTTTTATCATTTTCCAGTTCTTCTTCAGTAAGATTTAATGTGGAAATGGGATAGTTTCTTTAGTATAAGATTCTGATTGAGTGTGTCTGATGTACACAGTCTGGGAAGGGAGAAGATTGAGAGTGAAATGTTATCCATATACAGTACAGTAGTCCCTCACCATTCATTAGGTTAATTTTTGTATCTCGAATAACAGAACAAATGACAAAAACAGGACTCGATTCCCCAGCGACAAGAAAACCCCCAATGTTTTATCCGAAAAACATGAAATCGTTAAAAAAAAAACCCTAACTAACGTATGAAAAATGGTACTCATCTACAAAGTGTCATTTACTATGTAACACATTCACAAAAATTAATGAAATACAGTACAGTAGTATGTAGTTTAACTTTGGCACATTACCTTAAGGGAAGACAGTCATGTCACACCACAATGGCAGAATGAAAGATGTGGGTTGGGGGGAGATGTGGGGAGAAGTTTGTTATGATCAGTGAACAAGAATACATCTCTGCACATCTCTCCAAGATGGCCGCCCCAGCTGAATCCCGGGGTTCATGACTTGAAATTTTGCTGGGACCAAAATTTGCCTGTTGGTAGATACATAGAGATATTATATTAGTGCTGAAGTATTTACTAAATAGTTATGGTGAGAAAATGGTGAGGGCTCGGGTAGATTAAATATTACGTACTGTATAATGATTGTAAAGAGATAAATGGTATCACTTTTGTTTGGAGCTTCTTAGTGGACCTTGTGGATGTGATTGGATGGTTAGATTGTTAAAAGCTAAGGAAATTTGTAAAGGTTAGGGAAATACTAGTGGGATAATTACTGAAGCAGGGAGTAGTAGAGGCAGAGGTTGTCTTATATTAAAGTTCAGTCGTTTAGAAACTGTGGAAAGTGTTAAAGAATTACAGTAGTACATTAATTGTCAGCAATTTTTCTCACTGTTTTTGGATA